TCACGTTATAATTATTATGTTATCATCTGTTTCCCTATTAGGCTGTAAGCTCCACAAGGGTAGGGACCTTGCTTACTCCTCTCTTACCAGTGCCACACTCATAATAGGAATTCTATAATTTGTAAAATTTTATAGACTCACCCTGGAATCATATTTCAACCTACCTATACCCAATCACTGGTTTCCCTTACATCATCAATCTTGCCCCACAGACACTTGCTGAGCACCCACTTCTCAGCTGAGTGAGGCCCAGAGCAAACAGGAGGACGTGTAGACAGGTCCCCATAATATGGTATGCCAGTGCTCTAACTGGAGGAAGCCCAAGAGAAGGAGTGACTTCCTAGGAGGTCAAGAAAAGCTTCAAGGCAGAGAGGCTCCATAAATTGGGGCCTTAAAGGGTGCTTAGGAGTTTACCAGGTTGAGGGTGATTAGAGGAAAAGGCATGGAAAAAGGCCCAGAAAAATGAAATAGTACTAATAACATCTTCCCAAATCTCCCTCTGGAGTGCCACTTATATATCTAGCACCTCATCCCAGGATTTCTGTAAAGCCTCCTAACTAGATTTTTCTACTGCAGTCTCTCTTAGATCTGTTCTCATTCTGTTCCACCTTTGCTCAAGAACCTGCTGTGGCTCCCTATTACCTTTCACCTTAAATCTAAGGTGCCTGCTTGTCACTGGATGCCTGCCTCAACTTCTACCTATTGCTCTCACTCTCAGTGACTTTTTCTTTCATTACCCACTGACATAATCAGCAATGCTTCCACTAACTCAACAACCACAACTTTCCATACCTGACTTGCTCATCCTATTCCTTCTCTTCACCATTGATTTTATGTCAAAATCATTTTTGAGTTATGCTAAGAAAAATTATTTTTGAAGTCCATTTGAGTAATTTAATTGTTTATAGCTATCTCACTACTTCTTAGCATAGTAGAAGTGTGTGAGATTTTCTTAGTAAAATTAATTTTTGTGGGCTGGACTCTTTTGCTCTAACCTTCAGCAGCCAATTGGTGATGAACGGGCTCAGCCAGGAAGGGTTATACTTTTGCTCTGGGTCCTGCTGGAGAGAGGAGGTGTACCCCTTGCATTAGGTGTCTGTATTATACCTCCCTGGGGTCCCCTAGGCAGGGACAATGTCTTTTTCATTTACATTCCCCTGCTCCTACTCAGGCTTCAAGCTCTGTGCTCTGCAAAACAGATAGCCACAGTCACCAGAAGTAGACAGGCTGCCCTATTATGAGCCGAGTTGTGACCCCAAAATTCATTTGTTGAAGCACTAACTCCAGCAGCCCAGCATGTGACTGTTTTTGGAGACGAGTCTCTAAAGAGGTGATAAGGTAAAATGAGGTCATTAGGATGGACCTAATCCAATATGACTGGTGACCCTATAAGAAGAAAAAATTAGCCGGAACTGGTTTGGCTCAGTGGTAGAGCTGTGGTCTGCAGACTGAAAGGTCCCAGGTTCGATTCCGGTCAAGGGCATGTACTTTGGTTGCGGGCACATCCCCAGTAGGGGGTGTGCAAGAGGCAGCTGATCGATGATTCTCTCTCATCGATGTTTCTAACTCTCTACTCCTCTCTGTAAAAAATCAATAAAAAATATATATATTAAAAAAAAGAATTCAACTTATACCAAGTTGAATTTATAAAAAAACAAACAAAACAAGGAAAGATTAGGGCACAGACAACAGACAAGGGAAGAACATGTGAGGACACTGGGAGAAGGTAGCTATCTATAAGCCAAGGAAAAGGGCCTCAGAAGAAACCACATTTGCCAACACCTTGATCTTGGCCTTCTAGCTTCCAGAACTGTGAGAAAATAAATTTCTATCACCTAAGCCACATAGTCTGTGGCATTTTGTTATGGCAGCCTTAGCAAACTCATACAGATTCCAAAGACAGTTCTAGGGATGGAAGACCACATGATATTGGCATTGGCTTTGGATAAAAAAAAGTTTTGAGAAAAAAAAAACCTCTTTTGAGTGGAAAATGCCAATATATGTTGCTGACTGGCACACATACACGCACATGGCAGAGAATTTTTCTTAACTCTAACTACTCTTTGTGATAATAATTTCACAGTGAACACCCCACTGTGGGACATAGGAAATGCAGAAAAGCACAGAGAAGAAAATAACTCCCCCAGCCTCTCATTCTCTCTCTCCTTTTTCTACTTTGCTTACTAATGTCCTTTGTACCTATTTTTAAAAATGCAGTTAGGATTAATTTTGGCAATTTGTCTTTTAATTTATCACTGAAATCTGAATATTTCCCCATAAGTTATTAAAAATTCATCTCAACCATCATATACAATGGCTTTCTAGAACCTTCCACTATCTGCATGTGCTGTAAGAGGCATCCCCAATCCCTGCTATTCCCCATTTTTCACTGATAAAAACAATGCTGCTATAAACAACCCTTGCCTTGGGCTATTTCCTCAGGGCAAATTCACTAAAAGTGGAATTACTGGTTACTTGCATTTTGAAAGAGAAAACTTTCTTAAATTCTTAAAATGTTCTATAAAGTTATGCCACTCTGGGGGTGTAACAACTTCTAATCACACACATTAAAAGCTCCCTAGAATCTATGTAATAATTTTAGACATATTTTTTAAAAAATACAAAAGGAAGAACAAAGAAAACCTACACTATATGGCTATAGTCAATTCCAGAAAGTGATATCCATCCCTGGCTATGACAAAGTTGCCCTTCAGGTTAAAGCCTGGTTACTTAGAAAGGAAAGGGAAGGAGGCGGTCTGGCTATAATTACAATACCCGATGGAGTGGGTATGCGTTTTACAGGTTGGGAAACTGAGGTACAGAGAAGTACTCACTTGTCCAAGGCTACCTACAGTTTGGGAATGAAGCAGTCAGGACTGAAAGTCAGTTTTGCCTGGCTCTACGGCCAAGAGTTTAACCATTACACACACTACCGTAGGACAGGGTCTGTGGGGACAGGACGACTCCAGGATGGCTCCCAGATCCAGCTCAGATGTCCTGTTCCACCTTCTGATCTCACTGGCAACATGAGGCACTGGTGTGCAGGGATGGGAGGAGGCAGGCTGGTGTGTGCCTCACAGGCACATGAGCCGACAAGGCCCACCTGACCCCACCTGACCCCACCAGGTGATGCTCCACCTGCTCCTCTGGATCACAAATTCTCACTGACGCACTAACTGTTTGAGAGCAGCCACGGTGGTGTGACAGCCTAGAGAAGAATGTAGTAGCATGTCAGAGCAAGCATAGATAGATAAAGAGAGAAAGAATAAAACCCTGTGGTAAGAAGGACGTAAAACTGCGAACCAGTTGTTATCTGTTTTCCAACCTTTTTAAAAAGTGACGTTGCTTTCACAGGCATGTGTTGGAAAAAATTAGGTCTTTAAAGTCAGATGGACATGGGTTCCTATCCAGCCTCTCACCAGTTGTGACCTTGGGCAAACTGCTTCACTTCCCTGGGCCTTAGTCTCCTTACCTGGGGAGGAGCATTCTGTCTTGCTCTCAGGATGAACTAAAGAGATTCCCATCACACCCTTAGCTCTGTGCCTGTCATGGGGCAGGGACTCAGCAAATACAAGTTCCCATACAATTAACACCTTGCTGAGCCCTGGAAATGCAGTGTAGATAGGGCCCCGGCTCTTGGAGGAGCAGAGTGTGGAGAAGGAGAAACAATTATATTCTGAGGTGATAAGCACTTTAACAAAGGGACAAACCAAGGCTACATTATTTTCAGAAAATAATCTGTCTCTTTAACATATGACCACGGGAAAATCAGAGGAGGAGGCCATATTCACTTTTGATAGATCTTTAATCTTTCCCTCGTATCACCTTTTACTTCTCCATCAAAAGTTACCTGTTCCATGTCCCAGATCCCCAAACCCTGCTATCTGCTGGGGCTCATCTGGTCCGATAATTTCTACAATGGACATGCGTGCCCATGGGTTGCTGGATCACTTCAGATAGCATTCAGGGGTGGGGGTTGAGGAGTAAAATAACACATACTTATTACATAAAACTTGGAAAACAGAAAACCAAAATTGCTCATATTCTCATAAGTTAGAAATAACCACTACTAACCTACAGATGACATTTTAAAGGAAGCTTTTAAAGTGTTCTCATCTGCTCCTAAGGAGTGACACAGATGGTGGCAATTTGGGTGCTATGACAGGTCATGGGGAGGGGACTGGTTGGGGAAGGCTCTATTCTATCAAACATGGGAGCAAGCTTATTCCATCTAGGAATGAAGCCAGGTCCACACAAGCACACACCGTGAAGGACAATTTCTTAGACGTTGCTGGGGAAATAGTAGCCCTGGGCCACTGGCAGAACTCCCAGGAAGTGCCCCAGGCTAGGGAGGGGAGGGGTAGCTGTGTCCCCAAATGTTCATTTGTAAATGGATGGACTCAACAGTCATTAAACTCCCAGGGGATAGGCCTCTTCATGCTCCCAGACTGGACTCAGGCCCTGGACACATTACTCCTCCTTCTCAAGTACCCCCTCCCCAAACAAACAAAATTTCCATGATGGTGTTAAAAGATAGTAAAGGATGAATGACTGGTATGATAGCCAGTCTGCACAGAAATATTGCTCTTTATCTCAAAAGGACATGTACTAATCCGAGTGCACCTCTATTTGGAAAGATATCACACCGAAGTAAAGATGACAACACCGAGGCTCTGTGGGGACTGGAAAGGGTAGAAGTCATACACGTGGGAAATACAATATGTTCAAATTGCAGCTTCCAATCAGCTTGGCGCTTCCCTCTTCCTCCCTGCTACCTGCAGGCCCACGGTTTTTTGGGAGTGGCTGCTGAGAGCTCCAGGATTGGAAAGGTGGTTAGAGCAGCAGGGGTGGGAAGATAGGGGTGGCTAACTGCACAGACAGGTGTTTTTGCAAACCACTAACAGCTCTGGGGCTATTAACGACGCTGAAATGTGCACACAACTGTGGGTAAGGATCCTGAGTCCTTCCAAGTGAACCAAGGGTCTTGCTCAAACACTCACCTGTCTCCTGGGCTGCTCTCAGTCTGGCTCCAGGTGTGGGAAACCTACAAGCAAAAGAGATCAGAAAGGCCCATCAGAGGGGCTTGTATTTTATAGGCCACAAACTGGCGGCCAGGGATCCAGATCTGGCTATTTCAAACTTAATATTTGGTTGAAATTTTCATACTTGAACTGATCCCAGTATTTAGAAACCAAGGGATTTCATGCATTAGTCTCACTTTCTGAATCCCTTGGGGAGAGCTGCACCTCTGGGCTTTGTGTCAGCAGGATGCTGCAGGGCTGGATCCACATGGGCTGCCTCTGAAGACCCACAAATGCTCCTCTATCCCAACCTGCCACCATCTCCCTCTGGCCCCTATCTGGAGTTCAGCCCCTGCTCTGGTGTCTGCCTTTGACCTGGAAGCCCAGCATGTTCACCTTTTGGGTTTGCCTGGGCTCCCACCCCTCCCTTCCCTTTTCCTGCTCCAGACACATAAACTGAGAAATGTGCAGGGAGAATGCCAGGACTGCGCCTTGGAGAAATACAGGGAAAGAAGATCGGGGAAGACTCCAGACAAAGCTTGGATGGGGAGCCCTGCTGCCCCCTCTCCAGGGTCTCTTTCCAATATTCCTGCTCTGCAGCTGTGGAGATGAATCAGACAGGGTCCTGAGTGTTTAATAAAGGACATTTTGACAAAGACCTGGGCAGGAGAGGAGAAGTGAGGGTTCCTTTGCTACCACCCCTAGTCTGGAAGGGGATGGGGGGAGAGAACGGTTTCCAGTGGGGAGAAAGGGTAGAGAGTGAATCTCAAGGGGCAAATGGCAGATGCCCAGCACAGTTCACCCACAGGAGCCTCAGACCCCAAGGCAAGGCTAACCAGGTCCTCCCAAGTGTCAGGAGCTCAGTTCTAGTCCAAGGCCTATTAGTTGGTGCGAGCTTTTGTCCTGCTCACCTGGCCTGAACTCCACTTTTCTGCCATATCCCCCAGTGCCTGCCTCAGCCCTGGCCCCCAGCATTGGGAGCTTAGCCCGGTCCTGAGTCCCCCTCACTGCCTCTGCCTGTTCTCTTCCACTAGACGCCCTTCAAAGTTCTCTCACTGTGGAGGCAGGCTGTTCCATTCTGGGAAAGACAGCTCAGCCCCAGTTCCCAGAGGTCCAGGTACACAGCTGCCGGCACGAGGCTGACACTGGTCACAGGACACACAAAGTGGCCAGTGGAGGGCTCCCCTCCCCAAATCTCTTCTGGGAAAAGCACTAGCCTGACAAGAGGCAACCACGTGCAGGGTTTCCCGGAACCCAGAGTCTGAAGTGACCCAGGAGATCATCTGCTCTGGTACCTACTTTGGTCAGAGGGGAAAACAGGCCAGGAAATGAGTGGAACTCAAACAGGCCACACAGTGGATAGTGACAGAGCCAGTGCTTTGTCCGCCAAGCTGCCTCTTCCTCCTGGCCCAGGACACAGGAGGGCCTGGCTGTGTCATGTGACTGATGTCAGGCTGGGCTTACTCGATTTTACAACATCAAGGGATCCCCAGTTCACTCATACCTCACCCCAACTTCCTGAGGCAGGCACTGTTAAGATTCCCGTGTTATCGATGAGCAAATTCAGTCCCTGAGAAGTTACCTAACATCCTTAGACCAGCACAGTCGGTGAGTTCTGAGGCAGAGGCAATATCATTGGCAGTAGTAACTAGTATTGCCAATGAGGGTGCTTTCTCCAGGCTGGCCCTATGCTGAGGTCCTCCAATACCTTATCCTACTGTTTGCTTGTTTGTATTAACTTTTTCCACTTGGCTAAAACATGGAGTGTGTGTGTATGTGTATGTGTGTGTGTGTGTGTGTGTGTGTGTATACACATATATATATGTGTGTGTGTGTATATATATATATATATATATATATATATATATATATATTCAGTTTTGTTGAGGCACAACTGACATATAACATTGTGTTCACTTAAGGCCGTGGTCGGCAAACTGCGGCTCGCGAGCCACATACAGCTCTTTGGCCCCTTGAGTGTGGCTCTTACACAAAATACTACAGCTTGGGAGAGTCTATTAATATTTTGAAAAAGTGGCCTTAGAAGAAGTTTAAAAAATTTGGCTCTCAAAAGAAATTTCAATCGCTGTAGTGTTGATATTTGGCTCTGTTGACTAATGAGTTTACCAACCACTGGTTTAAGGTGTAAAATGTATTGACCTGATATACTTAGTAATGATCGGGTCATTATATGTCATTACCACCATCGTGTTAGCTAACACCTCCATCACATCACATCATTACCATGTCTTTGTTGTGGTGAGAACATTTAAGATATACTCTCTTAGCAACTTCAAGTGTGCATCTCGCCTAGTGTCAATCGGATAGGACTAGCCATGTGGCTATTCAGATGCCTCCTGACTGTTTTTGCTCCACACACTCACTTTCTGACCCTTTGTGGGCCTCTTCCTGACGTCTCAGTTTATGGGAGGCAGAGAGCTCAGCGTTGACCAGCTGTCACACACACCCTGTGATATTCAAGGGACCTTCCTAGCTTGAGTGGGCCTTCCTGCTGCACACACCAGGCCCTGAGCTCACACACATGAGCAAGGTCCTGGGCTGTGGGCAGTGAGGCCAGTGCCCCTTTCTTCCCCAGCGGGAACTGTTGGGATGAAAGATTGATGAGCAATCTGTCTTCACTGGTGAATTTTTAATTATGGAAGAAAGAAGACCCCAGCCCTTGGCCTAAACCAAGGCAGGCTGCTTCTTGGGTGTCACCACTGTTAAATTTCATCCACACGGACAACAGCTGTGAACCCTGGGTCCAAGTTTTTCTGCCCATAAATAAAGGTGAGGGATTGAGATGGGGGTAATCAGTGGAAAAACTTCTGGGCCCCCAGCATCAGAAGTTCTAGAGCGACACGAGGGAGGGTGAAATCAGGACTCCTAAAGGTCTTGGAGAAGTCAGATATAGGGGCAGTGGGTCTGGGAGCCTGGAGGCCATGACAGCTGTCAGTCTGATTCTTGCCCTTCTACATTGCAGGTGCAGAAGGACTCACACCCTGGATCCTCTTACAGCCAACAAGCTAAGACAGTGCTGAGCATGGAGCCTTGTCACTGGGCAAGAGCCCCAACTCCAGCCTTATAGACACAGGAGAGGCCAGGCTTCAGATCACTGCCCCAGGGACAGCAGGATGCTTGTGAGGTTATCCATGACTCCATTCTGTCCAATTTCACAAGCCAGACACTTAAGGAGACACAAAGGCCTGGGTTCAAGTCTCTGTATCACTTACTGGTCCATGTTTTCAAGCAAGTCACTTCAACCTCCTTGAGCCTCAGTTTTTTCCTCCATAAAATGAGGTTAGAAACAGCGACTGAGTGGAGAAGGTAAAGAGAAGGAGAAACACTGAGTGCTGTGCCTGGCACGCAGTAAATTTCTGATAAACATTACTGTAAAAAGGAAGACTAAAGCACCAGCTCTGCTCTCACATTGGCTAAAAACAAAACTCACAATAAAATGACACCCAGGGCAAGAATTTGGGTGAGAGATCATTTTTGACTTAGAGGCTCCGGTGCAGTCAGGCAAGGCTTCCAGGAAGAGAGGACCTGGAAAATGTACTTGCAAGTGCTTGCATCCTTTGTGAGTTCAGGGACTAATCTCTCCCTGGTGGGAAGCCTTGCCCATCCTGAAGTCCTTTCCAGGCAGACTGGGCATCAGTGAGTGTACATCTGATTTGCAGTGGTATTACTGTTTAGACAACAAAGTCCCGAGTCAATGCAACCAGGGGCCTGAGGCTATCCAGCTCATATCCCACCTCCTCCAGGAATCTTTCCAGGACTGCTTCAGTCCACATGGATCTCACTCTTCTCAGGTGCCACTAGCACTCAAAGCCCAAACCACACACCCTAAAGAGCCTTTATGCAGGGAAGGAGCCTGGGTTTTAGTCCTAGCTTGGCCCCCTGCTTCCTGTAAAATATTGGGCAAGTGCCAGCCGCTCTCTCGGCCTCAGTTTCCTTTATCTGTGAACAAGGGATTTGGACTAGACTAGAGTTTCCCAGGTGATACCGGGGAGCACTAGTCTTTTGAGAGGCTCCTGAGAACACGGCACCGTGTTTCATGCTGGAGCCATTGCCTTCCTAGTAGATTTCAGAAAGTAATGACTAAATAGATCAAGGCCCTGCTAAGTCCTGCAACATAGAAGCCAGCTTAGTTTCTTTGCTTGACTCAGCATTTCCCAAACTACCTTGACCTTGAAACATTTCTTTGAGTAATGTCTATTGACACACCACAAAACTAGCATTCCTCAGAACCCACTTTGGGAGGGAACACTAGTTTCAAAGATCTCACAGGTACCTTCCCACTCTGTCAATAGGGGATTTAATGAAAGTCTGGGGTGTGGAATTTTACTCTCTGGGTAACTTTTCCAAAATATCTGCTTCATTTCTGGCCAAGATTGGAGGGCACCTCCCTCCAGCTCCCACAGCAGCCACCATGTCTGGATCTCCAGCACAACAATCCTTGCGCTGCAGTCGGGGGTAAGTCTCCTGCAGTGGACCACAAGTATTTGAGGGAGGGACCATATCTGGACACTGAGGTGTCCCAGGGCTTGACAGTGTGTGCTCAATAAATATTTTTGAATATTTAGCATATTTGATAAATAGTATGGCCATGGCGTGTACCAAGAGGGCCACAAGCTATAAATAACCTACAGTGCTCTCCTGACCATGCCAGTTAGTTAAACACCAGCCTGGAGGGAGGACAGAAGGAAGAAAAAAAGGAAGGAAGAAAGGAAGATCGGAATTGTAAGAACTGCATGAGAGAATATACCTATTACCTGGAGAGGAAAAGCAATTCCTAAGGCAAAACCAAAAGCTGTGTTTTTAACCTTTCCCCGCTAGGGGCTTCTCTGACTTGGCTGTTCAGATCTGGGAGTGTGGTCTGAGGGCTGCAAAGACCACCCCTCCATGCTATGGGCCCCAGCTGGAGCCAAGGCCTCTTTGTTCTCAACAGAGTTGGCAGCAGCTTTAGTATTTCAAATATCCTTCTGAAATCTGAGTCCAAAATGGAACATTTTTTTCAAGT